CCTAACAGAGGACCATGGGGGAGGAAAAGGGGAAAAGTAGTTGGGGAGAGGGAGGGAGGCAAACCATGAGAGACTCTTGAATGCTGAGAACAAACTGAGGGCTGATGGGGGTGGGGGAGGAGAAGGGAGGTGATGGGCATGGAGGAGGGCACTTGTGGGGATGAGCACTGGGTGTTATATGGAAACCAACTTGACAATAAACTATAAAAGAAAAAAAAAGCTGGTTGCTGGGTACTTAACTGTTACCTCTACTTTTGTGTATGCTTGAAAACAATTATTTTTAAAGTTTTTAAATTTATTTTGAGCGAGACAGAGACAGTGCAAGAGAGGGAGGGACAGAGCGAGAGAGAGGGAGACGGAATCCCAAGCAGGCTATCCACTGTTAGGGCTCCAACTCATGAAACCATGAGGTCATGACCTGAGCTGAAACCAAGAGTTGGATGCTCAAGCAACTGAGCCACCCAGGTGCCCCTTGACACTTTTTGTAATGTAGTAATAAAGTAAATCTTTGTTGGTAGTTTTAAGGTAGTGGTAGTAGTAGTAATTAGAAAATGTGGGGTGAGGAGTGCCTGGGTGGCTTAGTCAGTTGAGCGTCCAACTTCGGCTCAGGTCATGATCTCAACTCAGTGACGTCAGTGTGTTGCTGATGGCTCAGAGCCTGGAGCCTGCTTCATATTCTGTGTCTCCCTCTCTCTGTCCCTCCCTTGCTCACTCTCTCTCTCTCTCTCTGTCTCTCTCATAGGTAAACATTTAAAAAAATTGCTTTAATTTAAAAAATACGGGGGAATGGTAAAGGATCAGTGCTGCCAACTTTTGTCCCAATTATAAGTCAGGTAGGATGTCATACAGCACAGCACAGAAATGTTTTTGAATCTGCCTTTTATTGGAATGTTAGGTTGACACGAATAGACTTGTACTGGCTCTCCGGCAGCCTTTTTTAAGAAAGCTTTTAAACTTGCTCCAGAGGTCCCCTGTCGAAAGAACTTAATTTTATTTTTGATTTAGCTATGGAAGATTATTAGAAATATATGAAAGCTACACATTTATATTTTAGAAAATTGCAGTTATGTAACCTGTTCTCAGTAACCGGGTAATTGATGGGTGGAGTAACTAAGGCCTGAGGAGAATAGAAGTTCACAGAGAACTCAGAACTACCAGTGAAATCAGACTAGTCAGGTGGGGTGGAGAATAGATTTAAAATACTTAGGGGGCTAAGACTAGTACCGTAATTGATTTTGCATTTGCAGACCACCTTACTTGTAAGGTCTCATATTCTCCCCGCTCTCATTGCTCTCTCCTTCTGTCCAGCTCACTTAAAACTTTCTTGGTGTCTCAAATTCCAGTTTGCAGAGTTCACTGTTTAGCTAGTTCAGGAGTTGTTTTTATCATCTTGGCAGACTGTACCATTGTTTTATTTGGTTAACCTACCAGTGGACATACCAAAAGACCAAATTCACTTTCAGGTCAGAAGCAGACAAAACAAAGATTTCGTTCAGAATTACCTGGATCTTGATGTTGATATTCCTTATGCTGTTTGCTCATTGAACCAATTCCTAGAGTCTTCATAAGAGAGTGAATTTTTTTTGTTTGTTCTATTTCACTTGAACAACTTTAGATGGGCACAACCTTCCTACATACATGTACACAGGCACACACGCACCATTTTTCTTTTCCTTAGTATAAATGGCCACTAAGTCATTCTCTTTGTCTTTCTTCTCCCCTGCTCAGACTGTTTTAAATGATTTTCAGAGTCTTGTTGCAAGTTGTAGATTACAAGTTAGGTGAATTCCCACTTAATAATTACTGTCCTACCTCCCGCGAGGCAGTGAAGGGTGTTCCCTAATTGTGATAGCACATATCCCACCAGTACTGTATTTCATTGTTTCTAACGTGCATATTTTCAACATCACCAGAATCCAGAGGTACTTGCAATTGCTGATGACCAGGGGGCACTTGTCCTGTATTGTCATTGCCTCTACTTGCAGTCTGGATGTTATTCCTGTGGCATGACTGGTTGGCTGTCTTTCTTTGTTTTTTTAGCCAGTAAATGGTTTACAAACGTTTTAAGGAAGGTTCATGAGTCCTGGTTGTCTGAAAAGCTTTGATGAGTACATTCTCAAAAGATCCAGACTGTATCAGCATTAACACATGTAGTTAATTTAAGGGTATCAGTGACCTGCAAGGAAATCTGAGATGCTAGTGGAGTCGAATATAGTTTTAAGGAACACTTTTATCTCCAGGCTCTTGGTGGTATATTGGGAGATACTATGAAACATATGCATTGATGACTGAGTGAAGAGTCCTTCAGAAGACTGTTTTGTATATTTAAAAGGAATATGTTAGCCAGTTCATTTTGTTTGTATTTCTTTGTGATACATGCAGTAAGTATTGTAAGTAGTGATACGCTAGAGTGTGTCATTAACTTAGTGTTTTTTCTTTTTCAGTGGTACATAGCTAAGTTACATCAGTATGCAGTTAAATTACATACTAAGATATGGTATTTGCTTTTTAATATGTAGGTGTTTTCACAACTAAGAAATTTTAATATTTTTTTAGGGAGTGCATGCATACAGTCTCATGTGAGTTGGGGAAGGGCAAAGAGAGAAGGAGAGGGAGAATCTTAAGCAGGCTCCACACTGAGCATGCATCTCACAACCCTGGGATCATGACCTGAGCTGAAATCAAGAGTCAAACGCTTAACCGACTGAGCCACCCAGGGGCCTCAGAAATTTTAATTTTCTAAAAAATATATTATTTTACTTTGAAAATTACAAACTGAAAACTCCTGTGGTAGTTGAGAATTGGATGTAATGTGAATCAAAAATGAGTACAGATGCTATTTAAAACATACTTCATAACTAGAAAAAGTAGAATAAAGCATAAATTCTAGTATTACAGCCATCAAGCTAGTTTAATGCCAGTTGAAACTATGATTATTCTTTGTGAACATGATCTGGTTTCAAAGATGACAATTTCTTTTCTACTTGCAGAGAAGGCAGTGGAGAGCCTTTTTTATTCATAAGACTAGTAATTCCTTTGAAATTTCTTAATTGGTTCTTTTTTCCCCATAAATATATACATATTCCCTATGTATATACATATACATCCCCATATGTATACATATACATATTGTTTAATTTTCTTAAGTTTTAAAATTTTAACTCCTGTGTAGTTAACATACAGTGTTACATTTGTTTCAGGTGTATAATACAGTGATTCAACAGTTTTATACATTGCTCACTGCTCCTTATGAGCATCACTTAATGTCACCCAGCCTCCACACCCACCCGGTGGCCATCAGTTTGTTCTGTATAGATAGGAATCTGTTCCTTGATCTGTTTTTCTTTTGTCCTTCATTTGTTTTGTTTCTTAAATTCCACATACATACGAGTGAAATCAGATGGTATTTGTCTTTCTCTGACTTAATTTCACTTGGCCCTGTATTTTCTAGCTCCATCCATGTGGTTGCAAATGGCAAAAGTTTCTTTTTTTTATGGAAGAATAATACTCCATTGTACGTATATGCCACCTCTTCTTTATCCATCCATTCATCTCTTGATGGACATTTGGGCTGTTTCCACAATTTGGCTATTATAAACAGTGCTGCATTAAATGTAGGGGTGAATATATCTTTTTGAATTAGTGTTGTTGTATTCTTTGGGTAAATACCTAGTTTTATTTTTTCAGTTTTGGAGGAACCTTCATACTGTTTTCCCTAGTGGCTGCACCCGTTTACATTCTGACCAACAGTTTGCTTGAGGGTTCCTTTTTCCCCCACATTCTCACCGACACTTGTTGTTTCTTGTGTTTTTGATTTTAGCCATTTTTGACAGGTGTGAGTTGATACCTCATTGTGCTTTTGACTGGCATTTCCCTGATGATGAGTGATACTGAACACCTTTTCATGTGTCTGTTGGCCATGTGTATGTCGTCTTTGGAGAAATATCTGGTCATGTCTTCTGCCCAGGTTTTAATTGGATTCTTTGGAGGTTTTTTAGTATTGAGTTGTTTAAGTTCTCCTAACCCTTTATTGGATATATCGTTTGCAACTACCATTCATTCAGTAGGTTGTCTTTAAATTTTGTTGTTTCTTTTACTCTTGGGAAGCTTTTTATTTTAATGTAGTCTCAATAGTTTATTTTTGCATTAATTTGTTCTTTAATTCCCAGACTTTGTTTTCCTTCTTTCCCATCCCCAGTATTTGAATCCATTTTTTAAAAGTTTATCTATTTTGAGAGAGACAGAGTGAACGAGCAGGGAGGGAGCAGAGAGAGAGGGAGAAAGAGAATCCTAAGCAGGCTCTGCACTGTCAGCACAGAGCCTCATGTGGGGCTTGAACTCAGGAACTGTGAGATCATGACCTGAGCCAAAACCAGGAGTTGGAGTCTTAACTGACTCAGCCCCCCCAGGTGCCCCCCTTTTAAATGCATTTTGAATGGGAGCTCCTAAGATGAATCAATTCCAAGAAGTGCACCTTTATCGTTTATAAAAAGGAAAAAGATTCATAGCCAATATGGCATGATGTTAGTTAGCATCTTTAATTTTAATGGTGGAACAGGGATGTTTTTTGTACTTTTCTCAACTTGTAAAATATAACGTTTAAAATTTTTTTAATGTTTATTTTTGAGAGAGACAGAGTGCAGATGGGTGAGGGGCAGAGAGAAAGTAGGGGGAGACACAGAATCCATAGCAGGCTCTAGGCTCTGCGCCGTCAGCACAGAGCCAGACACGGGGCTCGAACTCTTTCTTGAACCATGAGATTAGGACCTGAGCCGAAGTTGGACACTCAGCTGACTCAACCACCCAGGTGCCCCAAAATATGTTTTTAAGAAGATCATTTTCTCTCTTGAGTTGATGACTTTAGGTTGAGGACTCTGATTTCCAGGAAAAAATAAGGATAACTTAGTATAACTGAAATTAGGCATATCTGTATCTATCTTGGAGAAAATTTTGATCCCCTACAGAGAATATAAAATTATTTTTCTTTCTTATGGTTCTAGGGCTATGCACCACCACCTAAAAATGGGATTGAACAGAAGCGCCCTGGACGCCCTTTGAATATTACATCTTTAGTTAGGTTATCTTCAGCTGTGCCAAACCAGATTTCCATTTCGTGGGCATCAGAAATCGGAAAGGTAAAGACTGTCTCCTGGGTAGCATGAAAGTGATCTCACTAGAAGCTGATTTGTTTTTTTTTAGCTCACGCTACTAGGTCTAGCTTGTCAGGTTTCTGATTGTAACCTCCAAGGAGCCGTCATTTTCAGTTCGGGGTAGAGATGTAGAGATTCTTAAGGCTAAACAGTTTAAGATTTTCTGAATGCCATCTCTTTATTTTCTTGGAAAAGAAATGAATATAATTCTTAAGTATTTCTTAATTCCTTAAGAATTAAGTACGTCTTAAGAATTTCTTAATTCCTTAAGAATTAAGTATGTCTTGAGGAAATTGTTTAATCCCGGTTGTGTTTATGTGTTTAAGTGGCGTTCTAAGGAACTGGAAACTTTGGGTGGTGCTATGTATTTATGAAGAGGATTGAAGCTTTATCAGGCTTTGAGGAATATGTTTAAATGTGCGCCTGTTGTGGTTGGAAGTAATCCGTTCCAGGCTTTACATGAACAGCTTACTTGAGAGAATATGGGAATCTCATATGAAAATACATTATTTTTTCAATACCTTTATGTTTGAACCTGGCTTTCTACTAATTCTTAGTCTCAAATGCGTTATATCATTTATGGGATACTAATACAGTGTGGGATTTCTGTTTCACAACTGTTTGCTTATATTTGGAAATAATAGAACGGCAAAAGAGAGTTCAGTTAATTTCTGAACATCAACTTTAATCTAGCTATTTTATAGAGATAAAGGGTAATATGCCTATTTTATGGATGGAAACATTGAGTCCTATTTTTTTTAGCAGGAATTTTGTGGTGTGTCATCAAGGCAGTTGCATAGCTGGACACAGAATATTTTGTATTAATATTTGGACTATAATATAAAACATATAATATGTAATAATTATAATAATATAATACTATAATATAAAATAATATAAAATATAAAAAACTACTGTCTCTTTAATGATTGTTTTCTTGAGCTCTCATTTTTGAATTTTTACTGTAAGTTGTCTTTATTATCATATGGCACTGATTCCTAATATTTTTCATTTGCACAAACTGAATGTGTAGTGTAGTGGAGCATTGGCTAAGGGTTCAGAAAATGTTGGCTTAGTCCCAGGTTGGCCATTGTTTGATTTTTGCGAAGTTGCTTAATTTCTGGAGGCCTGATTAATGAATAAGTAAAATCTTGAGAATGAGTGTTAATATGAAAATGCAAGGGATATTGTTAAATGAGCAAGTAATAATACTTTAAAGCTTATGAGAAGAATTTGAATAGAAGAGTATATCTTTTTGAAATAATCATTAATTTGCAGATTTTTGAGTAAATGATTGTAGACATTGAAGACCTGGAAGGATTTTTTGCCACATAATGGGAATAATATTCTTTCCTTGTAATTAAAATGATTGATTGGCTTAAAACCTGCACACTGTATTGGGTATTCAGATATTTAAAAGGACTGTTGCAGGACATTAAAATAATACTTAAAATACTTGTCTTGGTAACTATTAAAAGTATTTCATTTATTGTAGAATCCATTGAATGAATATTTGTAGTGAAATAGTAAATAGATTTTTAGCAGGTAGGTAAAATTATATTTTAACTCTTCATAGCTCTATAAATAGCTAATGAAGGTTCCTTTGTGCCAGATCCTAAAGGTATGGGATTGGATGCTGTTATTTTCTGACCTTGACTTTTTTATTTTTATCATTTCTCCATGTGTCTTATTTGCTATAGTAGCTGTCTCTTCCCTAATGTGCATTTGGGAACAGGAGTTAATTTGTCAGAGTTTTTCTTAGAAGAAAGCCAATATTGGCTTCATTTGAAGATTTGTTCGAGGCCATGTATGAAGTGGTCTCTTCTTCCAGAATTAGAACTTTGAAACTCTGGATTTTAAGTATAATTGAGATCTCTGGTGTTTGAACTTTTTTTGTGCGGTGGAACCCATTTTTCAGCGTACATATTCTGACAGTTCCAATACGTAAAAACAGAGCAGTTTTAGTTAAAAGTGGGCGTGAGAGGGTACATTCTAATTCATATCATCATTGCCCCTAGGATAGCAGTTTTGCTAAATTAGAAACACAGTTTGAAAATTACTGGTATATGTTATCTTTCACATGGATGTTTTAAAGGGAAAAGTGATTGAGAAATACCTTTAATGTGATTGAGTTTTTAATCTTCCTTAAAATAACTGAGTTGATTTTGCTCCCTTCCCAGTCATTGATCTTTCTCTGAAAGTTATCTTGAATGTTATTTTTAGAAACCAGAATCCTTAGATAAGTATTTTATGTAAATACGCTATTATCTCTCGTCTTTAATACAGATTATGTTTCTTTGTAGAATTACTCCATGTCTGTATATCTTGTACGACAGCTCACATCAGCCATGTTATTACAGAGATTAAAAATGAAAGGTATTAGAAACCCTGATCATTCCAGAGCACTAAGTAAGTAATATTTATAAGACAGAGCATATGAGATGCTTTAATGGGGAGGGGGAAAAAAAAAGAGCAAGTCTCACATATACATCAACACGGGAATAATTGGGAAAAATTATTAGAAACCTAAAATGAATTTTGAGCTAAAAGTATTCTAAGAACAGAACCCTATAAAATGAAAAACCGCTCTCTTAGAAATCATTCCCAATGGATCAATTTTAAAATCCCAACTAGTCCGGGGCGTCTGGGTGGCTTAGTCGGTTGAGTGTCCCGCTTCGGCTCGGGTCATGATCTTGCGATCATGGGTTCGAGCCCCGCGTCGGGCTCTTTGCTGACAGCTCAAGAGCCTGGAGCCTGTTTCAGATTCTGTGTCTCCCTCTCTCTGCCCCTCCGCTGCTCATGTTCTCTCTCTCTCTCAGAAATAAATAAAATACCAAAAAAAAAAAAAATCCCAACTAGTCCAGTTTTGGGGTTATTAATGAAAACTTATTTAGGTAAACGTCAGATTGATGGTAATTTTGATGCATACATTGACTTGCGAATAGAAATGCAGTTCTTTAGAACCTCCAGTGTGCAATAGAATGTACATTTAAAAAACTTCTAAATAAGAAGCTCTTTTTGCAGAACAGTGTTGATATCTGTCAGCAGTATTGCCTTCTCAGATGTTTTGTTTTGTATAATCTAGAGAAAAAAGTCTAACCCAAACTGTAAATAATTCAGTTCAGTAACTTAATTCAATTGAACAAGACATTTTTCTGGGAATGAGAATATTTTCCCCCAAATTACCTTTCATACCAACTGAATGAACCAGAAAGAAGAGGGTCTACAGACTGACGAGGAAGCCAAGTAGGGCTCTTGAAATGGTGTTGCGTTTCTTGTACATAAACCATTCTCATCTCCTGAAACGGCACAGTATAGATCTTCCTGCCTTGAGTGGAAAGCCAGGGAAGCTCTCCCCTAGTTCTTCTTGCCCTGCTCCAATTCCGCAGCCTCCATTTCATAGTATTCTTAGGATGGTGTTGAGAATTATGCACTTAAAGGCCGCATGTGCATTAGTTAGCTTGTATGTACAGTACCTTGTATATACATCACCTGGTCAATAAAATTGTAGAGACATTACCACATCCATTGTAGTTTTCAGTTGTCAAAGGAAGTATAAGAATATTGTGCCCCTTCTGTTTACAAACTCCTCCCTAATAAACAGTTATGCATGTGTGTGAGGAAAGCATTAAAGCCCAGAGCCCTGCTGGTTTCCAGGTTCCTTTCCTAACCATTGGATTGTTCTGAAGCCTTAAGCAGCTTTCTGTTTTTGAAACTCTTCCTTACCTGCAATTTGACTTTTAAAAAGAAATTTAAAAATTCAATTAAACAGGTGATTTTAGAGTTTGCAAGTTTATAATGCTTAAATCTGATACTGGAAGTACGTTTGTGTGTTCAGTATGTTAATCCTTAATGTTTCAGGGGGTTTATGTTTTGATTTTGTAGTTGCTTTACCTATTCAAAATGTTTGGGAAACTTTGAGATATATTTCTATAATTCTGTTCATTATTATCACAGCTCATTGAAAAAAATTTTTAATTTTTTTCTTTCCTTTTAAAGTTAAAGAAAAACTTACTGCAGATCCTGACAGTGAAATTGCTACAACTAGCCTCCGGGTATCCTTGATGTGCCCCGTAAGTAAGGCAGCAAGACATTTTGGGGGGTTTCACTTTTTATAAATTACCAATTTTCCTAAAAAGTAAGTATGGGATGACTGATAGATTATGATAGAATTCTGAACTTTTGTTGTTTTTCCACTCAGAAATTTTAATGATTAAACATTGTAATTCTTAAGAATGCAGATATTCTTCAGGCCATGACTAAATAGGAAGAAACCTAAGATACTGTATCAGAGAGGGCAGAGGGCTTTAGTAATTTCGGAATAATCTGTCAGAGCCTTTTCTTTAGACCAGCCACAGCTAATAGTAAACATAGGTAGAGAATTGGTTCCTTTTATCAGAATATAAATGGTAATGGAAAATAGCATTAAAATTACTAGTACCTAATAAATGCTAATTGATGGTTCTGGTTTAATGAGTTAGTATGTGTGAGATTCTTAATCTATAATATGCTTCAGAGTTGCACAATAATTTTTTTTTAGCACACACATGAGTGGGGGAGGCACAGAGGGGAGAGAGAGGGAGAGGGAGGGAGAATTTTAAGCAGGCTCCATGCCCAATGCAGAGCCTGACATGAGACTCGATCCCACGACCCTGGGATCATGACCTGAGCCAAAACCTGAGCCAGGAGTCAGACGTTCAACCAACTGAGCCACCCAGGTGCCCCAGTTGCACAATAATTTTTATATCTCTTTACATAGAGACTATGGGGTAGAAATCAGTCAGGAACACTCAGATTCTCCTGTGTGCTTGGTAATGAGCTAATTTTGGGAGAATATACTGAGGACTTGATAGGAATAGTCTAGTTTGCAAGATAATGCTAACTGGAACTTACCTCATGTAATCTTGCTAATAGAGTACCAGGGAGATGGGAGAGTTAAGGAATAGTGAATGACAGCTTCTTTAAAATCAGTACTATTGGAGGGGACCCTTTCCAGATGCGAGAAACTTTATGAGAAAAGTCCTAGAATCAGTGTAGTTTTGGGGGCAACTTGTGACCAGCCACCATTGTGAGAAATGTACAGTATTTTACATGGAGAGAGAATAGTGTCATAGAGAGGGAGGGAGAAGGGAATAATTTGTTGAGTTTCTATCATATGCTCCTTAACTTAACTGTCTTAGCAAAACTGTATGGAGGAGTTGTTCCCATTTTGCAAATGAGAAAACAGACTAAAAAAGGTTGGCTAATCCAAATCACATTTAGTAGCAGAACAAGGATAAAAATTTTGGTCTTCTGACATTGTTCCAGTTATCATAACAGTATGCCACAATACCAAATTGGGCTAAAATATTAATATCCTGCTTATAAGTCTACCTCTCTATCCCCCTGGAAAGTGTTTATAGATATCTTTCTGAATTTATTTTTTTTATTATCATTAGCTTGAACTGACTTAGCTTTATTGAAAAGGATTAGAATTGCATGAAATTGGGATTGCTTAGACATTCGAAAGCCATGGTTATTAGACCGAGAGAGAAAGTGTCCAGTCCCAGGAGAGGAGGAAACACAGCTTCTGCTCCGAGGGGGAGGCAGGGGCCCTGTAGGGCTTGTGTAGGGCTTGTGTCTGGACCCGGGCTGTGTGCAGACCTTGAGGTGTGAGTTCTTTTGAGTGTCTTCACATTACCCTTTTCCTCCCTCTTTTCTTAAAATTGATACTAAATTGAAACACAGGAAATTTTCATTTTATTGGTCAAAAACAGTTGAATATTGACAGTTTTTTTTTTTATGGTTTAACTCTAGTATATTGAGCAGATGTTAATTGCTGGCCATATTCTAGGCATAATCACTGTATAGGAAGGGACTTCATGTTACCTTTACTGTTTTCTTTATAATTTGTCTGCAGCATTAAAAAAAAATGTTTGTTTATTTTGAAAGAGGAGAGAGAAAGTCCCAAATAGGCAGTGCACTGTCAGCACAGAGCCCAGTGCAGGGCTTGAACTCAGAGACTGTGAGATCATGACCTCAGTGGATATCAGGAGTCAGATGCTTAACTGATTGAGCCACCCAGGTGCCTCCTGTTACTTTTATGTTTTAGTAACAGAATGTTCGGTCAGGAGGAAAGTGCTTCTGTACAACTTACCTGAGGAGTTCTAACAGTTGCATGATGCCATTTTCTGTCTTATTAGTACTTTTTTTTTCATTTTTTAAAATGTTTATTTTTGAGAGAGAGCGAGAGAGAGTGAGCGAGTGAGAGAGCGAGTGGGGAAGGGGCAGAGAGAAAGGGACACACAGAATCCGAAGCAGGCTCCAGGCTCTGAGCTGTCAGGACAGAGCCAGATGCAGGACTCGAACTCCTGACCTGTGAGATCATGACCTGAGCTGAAGTCAGATGTTCAACTGTCTGAGCCACCAGGAACCCCGGCACTTGTTTTTTGTTTTTTCCTTTAAAATTTTTTTCCTTGTTTGCCATTCTGTATGAGAACAACCAAAATAAAACACAATAGCCTAACATACTAGTGGATTCTCAGATTTTCAAAATAGTGAAGGTGGTATATCAGAGTGGTTAGGATTCCTTCTGTATAAGAATAGGGAGCAGTTCCTTTCCAAATGTATCACTTTTAATAAAGCTGACCATGTTTAGGAACGTTAACATTTCATTTTTTAAAAGAAATGAAGTAACAAGATCCTGTTTTAAGTTCATTAAATATTTTCTCTGCTTACAAGTGAAACAAGCCTGTTCCTCAGACTATCTTTTGAGCTTAAGAATTCATCCTCCCTGACTTTTTCAGCACTTTCTAGAAAAGCACGAATGGTACTTTTCAGGCTGTAGTCGTGTTAACACGAAGTTGAAGCTGACCCTAGAACATGATGCATATTAATTAAACACCAAACAGGTGTTTTGATCAAATGTAACAGGTGAATGGCAGTTGATTTTGAAGCAGCAGCAGTGCTGGTATTAGGTGAAAAGAGCAAAAAGGAGTGCAGTGGCTGGCTGTGGAACTAGCACAGGATGTGCTGCTATGGTAGGAAATAGAGGAGCACACGGCGCCTGAGTGGCTCAGTCATTTGAGCATCCGACCTCACTCAGGTCATGATCTCACGGTTCATGGGTTCGAGCCCCACGTCAGGCTCTGTGCTGAATGCTCAGAGCCTGGAGCCTCTTTGGGATTCTGTGTCTCCTTCTCTCTCTGCCCCTCCCCAGTTCACACTCTGTCTCTCAAAAATAAATTTAAAAAAATGTAGAAGAAAACTTAAAAGGAAATAGAGGAGCACAGAATGGATCGTAGGCATTTGGAAGGATAAGAGGTGAACCCTGGGATAGGAGGCAAAAATGATAGCTTTACAGTAGTGGAAGAGATGTTAGTTATATTTCATCGTATGTTTATAAAATGATTCAGAGTTGACCTGAATCTGGATAGTGGGAGCACAGTCCAAAGCCTCTATCCTTTGGACCGATGGAAGGCAATGTTACAGTCATTATTGAAGGACGGATCTGATTACGTGTGTATCATTAGATTTCTGAACACAGTGAATTTTACACAGGAACTGTATTGTAGTGATACCAGCTGGTGATTTTCAGTCTGTCCTGCAGACGTGGGCTGGGCGATAGAAAAAGGAACTAGGTTTGATTTTATCTCTTAAGATTCTGACTCATACATAGTTTGGAACCACTGGTTTGGGACATTTTACTTATACACATTCTTTATTAATTTAGATAGATACTGATTAGTCTATAGTAGAATGAAAAGCAATTTAGACACTCTGCTTAACATTTTATGTTGATACTTACTTTAAAAAATTTGTTTTAATGTTTATTTTTGAGAGAGAGAACATGAACAGGAGGAGAAGAGAGAGACGGAGACCTAGAAACTAGAGCAGGCTCCTGGCTTTGAGCTGTCAGCATAGCTCACGCAGGAACTGTGAGAGGATGACTTGAGCTGAAGTCAGATGCTTAACTGACTGAGCCACCCAGGCACCCCATACCCTGATACTTATTTTTAAATGTTTGTTTGTTTATGTTGAGAGAGCAAGTGAGGGACTGAGAGAGAGAGAATCCCAAGGAGACTCTGTGCTGTCAGCTGCAGAGCCTGACACGGGACTCAAACCCTTTTACCGTGAGATCATGACCTGGGCTGAAATCAGGAATTGGACACTCAGCTCACTGAGCTGGCCAAGCACCCCTTACCCTGATATTCATAGCAACATTGTGTGGAAACAGGCCATGTGTCCATTGACTGATAAATGGATAAAGAAATGGTGTGTGTGTGTGTGTGTGTGTGTGTGTGTGTGAGTGAGAGAGAGAGAGAGAGAGAGAAATATTACTCAGCTGTAAAAAGGAATAAAATCTCTCCATGTGCAGTGACATGTATGGATGGAGCTAGAGCATTATGCTAAGCTAAATAAGTCAGTCAGAGAAACACAGATACCATATGATCTCACTAATATGTGGAATTTAAGAAACAAATGAGCAAAAGGACAAAAAGAGAGGGAAACCAAGAAACAGACTCTTTTTTTCTTTTTCATGTTTTTATCTAAATTCTAGTTACTTAATATGTAGTGTAATATTAGTTTCAGGAGTAGAATTAAGTGATTCATTACTTACGTATAATGCCCAATGCTCATCATAACGAGCACTCCTTAATACCCATCACCCATTTAGCCCATCCCCAACCCACCTACCTCCATCAACCCTCAGTTCTCTCTTGTAAAAGAGTTTGTTTCTCTCTCTTTTCCTTCCCATATATTCATGTTTTATTTCTTAAATTCCGCATATGAGTGAAATCATATGGTATGTGTCTTCTGACTTATTTCACTTAGCATAATACACTCTAGCTTCATCCACATCATTGCAAATGGTGAGATTCCATTCTTTTGATGGCTGAGTAATATTCCCTTGTGTATATATACCACATTTCCTTTATCCATTCATTAGTCGATGGACATTTGGGCTCTTTCCATAGTTTGGCTACTGTTAATAATGCTGCTATAAACATCAGGGTGCATGTACCCTTTGTATCTGTGTTTTTGTATACTTTGGGTAAGTACCCAGGAGTGCAGTTGCTAAATCATAAGATAA